TCCATCAAATGATGGACATCGTCAGAGCTGGGTGTCATTCTTGTAAAAGTCAAATCTTAACACTAGGCCCAACCGGCTGCAGTACAACGAGTTTCATCCGTTAACCGGCTGCAGTACAACGAGTTTCATTCGTCCTCATCTGGTGAGATCGACCAACGAATCTCTTCTTCATGCACTTTCATACGAAATGAAGGTCCCTCTAACAATGTTATCTCAGGAGATTCATCGAAACCCAGTTTCTCTTTGTAACTGTATGTTGAGAATGACAGTTCTCACTGGCTAGCTAGACTACAATGCCGGACAGATGTCTGCAAATGCAGCAATTCAACAAAAGACTGGGCGTATTTCACAAGGTCTCCTCCTCATTCTGGCCGAGTTGCGAAGCTAAGGCCAGACCAATACTGAGCGGATTCTACTTGTACGTCGACTTTTAGTCTCATTGCTTTTAATACACTTCAGGCCATCTGGAACATTCAAGCAGAATCTGCAGGCATCATATCTACTTGGAGACGAAAAGTTGGTTTCCATTTGATTAGCTCTTCTTGGTCTACACTTCCACGTTAGCCTCAAGGCTTCGGGCCGCAAATCATTGGTAAAGCATCTTGGAAAAAGGTCACATGATTGTGGGAAAATTCTTCATCACCTTAAACGAAATAGAGTGAATACATCCTATATTACTAATTTACTGGTAGTCTGAAAAACTCTACTTATATACGAAAAATGCGATCATATTCGATTCTGTACCCTTTATCTAAGGCTATATTGAGCCTTAAGCCTTTACCTCCAAGCGCCTTAACTTGTTTCTGTCCAAATGAAGTTATCATGACCTATCCCAGTGTTACAATTTGAGAAATTGTGCATTGATTTGAAGGCTCATCCATCATATTAATTATTAAATATATATTTAATGTTAATAAAGTAAAAAAAATAATAAGATACACGAGTTTTTATTTATTTTTATCTCTTACTTACGAGTAGTCATAATTAGGGTAGAGCGCCATTGAAAAATTTTAATTGAAAAAGGGCGCCGCGACTAGGAAAAGTTTGGAAACCACTGACCTATTCTGCAGTCTTCCTACTTCATAAATCCTGTCTGCATCTCATGACTTGCCTACATTCATAAGCACACACGTACATACATTCCAGCTCATTCAAGCCTCCTCCTCTGGCTCACCTGTACTTCCCGTTCCTCCGCCCGTCTCTCTCCAATCCTATCGCTTCCACTCGCCTCTTCAAACCAACTGAACGGTAACCCAACCTCAATCTTTTGAGGAAGTCTTCAAAACACTGTTTATCTGTCAGTATGTATGTATGTTAGATTTAATTCAGCAACTAAACCATACACGGCTCCAGTCATACCTTTGCTTGGGTGGTCAAATCTTCATGACTCTGGACAAGTGGCTTCGTAACTTGACTTACACACTTACAAGTTAACATCTCATTATATTGGCCAGAGCTGATTACAGACTTGCGCAGTCTCCGTCAGGGCTTTCTTTTTGGTCATTAGGCCTTGATGATCAGCGCCTGACATTTACCTTTTGACAACTCTGATTTAGGACCGGTATTGAGTATAGTCGCTAACACACACATACACATGTACACACACACACACATGCACACACGCACACAGTCGAGCAAAAGTAGCAGGACCAGTATGAAAGGTAATTAGCCAAACCACTCTATATCTATCTATCTATTTATCTATCTATCTATCTATCTATCTATCTATCTATCTATCTATCTATCTATCT